AAAACTGGTTTTCCAGAAAACCGGGTCTTAAAGGGCCCTCCGCCCAAATCCTTTTAGCCTTTTTGCCTACTCGAGGTCCTCTATCGAATGATGTATGAACGAACGAAATCGGAGCCGGACACCTGGGCGGTTCCCTCGTCAGGAGGAATTCCGGGAATTCCGCCTCAGAATAAGGTTATATGCCATTCCTCCTTGCAGTACATCAGTAGATACTTCAAGTAATTCCGGAATTTGCAGTGATTCCGCATTGCAGGAATTCCCGGAATTCATAATCGTCGTTCTTTTTACCATATCATAATCATATGGATCATTTTTGTTGTCGGATGAATAATCCATTGAAATGTTCGGAAGCCCTCCGTAAAACAGACATGTGGAAGAAAGAAATTAAGTTTCAATTAAACATCTATATACCTTTGAATTCGATCGAGTTTTACATGACTGAACCTGAAGCAGTGATTGTTTGGAAGGTATAATTGTACTGATTAAAAAAGGTCGGTTTACTATAACATTTAATCGCTTTCGTTTCAATTCTGAACTGTATTCAGTTCGTAATCTTTTTTTCAAATTTATATTCATTTTTTTTTATCAATCATGTGCAGTGATTTATTATTTATCAAATATCTTTCAATCGATTGACTAATTACATTCAAGCGATAAGTCACTAGTTCATTTTCTTTTAGAAAAATATATTGTAATGTAGCTGCTGATAATCGAACTCGAACGTAACTGGGTGTTAATTGACAGTCCATTTGCATCAATTTCTCTTCGAATGTTGTTGAAATATCTTTGTTTTACCTTCTTCACTACCATTCAATGCTGCGTCATTACCAGTATCTAAACTTTCTTCTGTACCCGGATCAAATCTATGCATGAAACTTTCGTCTTTCCAAGAAAAGTTAATTTTTGTAGAGCTTGAACAAGATGGTGGCGTTAAAAATTGGCGGTGCTGACGTTTTTCAACGGGAATTCGAATTGTTATTGTTGTACGAGGTCAACTATTTGCTTTCGATCGATTATTTTTATTGTAATACTTTATTTTCGCACGAACTAATGTCCGCAGTTTTGTTTCGATTTCTTTACTGATGAGAGCCCGTTGACATTCCTCATCAAATGCATACAAGATTTGTTCGACATTGTCAACTAATTGTTTAATTATTTCTTTGTTAGATAAAGTATCGTCAGCTTTAATGAATTTATGTAATTATGTTAAAATTAATTGTGCGATATTCCTAAAAGAACAGAAGTTCGATGACGTCGCCGTTACTGAACGGCAATCAAAGACAGAAAAAATAATTGTTTCAACAGTTCTGAGCTGAAATAATATAGAGTAGAACAGTTAGTAAAAACATTTATTTTCTATATGTTGAATGTCTCTACCATCTTACTGCTTAACAGTGATGAAAAAGCAACTTCAAGTTATCCATACCATTGTTGGTTGATTGACGATTGTAAATTTTGTGTATTTCAGCAGCTACCCATGTAGCATCTTTTTCGAAAATATTTATTTCTGTGAAGAATGAAATTATCTTAAAAATAACAGTACCTTATGATCCTGTTTAGACTTTACCGGTTTAGTCTCAGGCTTCAAGCATCAAGTAATAAAGAATGCTAAGTACCATGGACTGATCACGTAGTAAATCATAATATGCTAGTTAAACTTTCTTTTCTAAGGCACTTTCCTCGGAAAAAGAGTAATTCACAGGCAGTACAGTTCATTTTTCTATTAGAGAACTGTTTGTTATTTCTTTCTAGGAATGAGAAAAGAACGTATCACATTTTTATGCGGTAATAGCGTTCTTTCTTTTGAAAGAATCAATCCACACGTGAATAATGTTGATGATCTTTCTATATATCGTCTTTTTCCTCACTGAAATTGAAATTTAGATGCTAATAAAACCTGTTCTTCTTCTTGTATATAGCTACAAAAAAACAACTTGTTTGATGAAGATTTGTGAATAGAACGAGAAAATCTTCTTTCATAGTCTGCGTTGGTAGTATCCTCTATACCTTGTTAAGCCGGCCGAGTGACACTATTCATCTTTTCCCTTTTTACACACACTTTTATCTTTCAAGTCAGTCACTTGTTATCAGTTATTCCGAATAGTACAGATTAGGTGTGTTCGGTTAACCGATGTTTCGGTTAAACCGAAACCCAAATAATCGGACAGTGGTTATAACCAAAACCGTAGAGTATTATGAAGGAGAATAGAAAGAACACGACGTATGCGATGTATGTCCCAAGGTCGTGAAAGTATCGTTTAAAGGTTGATTGACTCGGTGTGAATTCGGATTTTGTGTCTTTCAGTAAGTGTTCAGCTTGCGTGTGATAAGTTGATATTAATTTGGTCGTCATGTTTTTGATTGGTATAATAAAAGTTGGTGACTTGTGTAGGTTGTTAGGAAGAGTTGGCGCTACGATAATCCGACGTTTAATACACGATGTAGCCGGTAATTGAACGTTCGTGCATAGTATTGTTTTTTCGCAGGGCACACGTACAATTACTGCCTCGCTGATCGATATCGTTTCCGCTATTCCATTGAGGGTTGAATGAGCCTGACAATAATGTGGTTCATGTACGTTGTAGAATAGCCAAATGTCGTTGTCAATCTGCATAACGCCTGGTTGCGTATCGCGTGATCCACTCATTTGACATGTATTGACGGTTGACGTTGCGTCATCAAATAGCTCGGATAAACACGACCAGCTCGACAGTGGAATTGACAAGGGCATATTTTGGCATTGTACGACAGTTGAGAACGTGCATTCATTAATGTCAGACTCATCATTCCAGATTATTTATGTCTGATCGATCATGTTCAGACCGATTATCCTTGGAAGGTTTGAGTACATGTACTTGTTACCGCTCATGGCAATCGGGAACGGGATCAAGCGATAGACTGAGTATGTAGATATACCATCGAATGGAAGACGTAGAAATAATGTCGAGACGGCGAGGCACGGTTGATATGGTGGCGATTCTTGCGTACTTGATGAGCAGTGGCGTAGAGCAAAAACAGTTTGAGCCACAACGAGTTGGGTAAAAGTTGTGAGTGATTCTTGAACGTCGAAGATTGTATAAGAATCGTCAACAGTTGCAAAAATTGCTGCTAGAAACAACTTCATATCAATGTAAGACAAATATTCAAAAGCTATTTTATTACTACTTATCTGTTTAAGGATGATGGCTGCGGTTGTTTGAGAAAAACGTGGAATTTCATGTTGATCATCAACAGCAGTGGAGGAAGAGGGTGTAATGAAAGTTCTTCCGCCATTCTTTTGAGAATGAAATTGATTATCGACAAAATGAACGATAGATTTAGTCTCCTTAATAATTTGATCAGGATGATAATGTCCGAGAACTCGACTTATATCTTTGCCAATCAATCTGGAAACGCTGTTGCTGTCGTATGCAGACATTGTGTGAACTGTACGACGAGGTGCCATCATAGTAGCTAGTTCCAACACATTCGTCTTTGTCGACAGCGAAGTATACAAACAAACATCTGTTTTTGGTGATGTAACGCAGTAATCGTCAAGGGGTACAAATGTATGGACAATCTCTTCTACGACTTCTGACGAATATTTGCCGATGCGTCGAAGAGCAAAGCCTTTATTAACATCAATGAGAATATCAGCAGTCGACAAATCTCGCATCGACACGAGCATAGCGGTCCTGATCCAGTTGATCACAAAGCACAAGAAAAATAATCGTGTAGTATTGACCATTTATGATTTAGAGACAAGAAATTATCAGAGTATGTAAGACAAAACCGGTAGAAAAAACGTGTAGCTAGGAATTGAATACGTTAATTGTTTTCTCTTATTAGTTTCTTTTTCTCATTCATATATAGTATGTATTGTGAGAAAGAAAAAGAAAATGAGTGATTGGACAAGAGAAAAGAGATTCGAGAAGCAAAAATCGAAAGAAAAGAAAATCGATAGCAATATGACCAATGAGGCGGCGTCATACGATACCATTACAACAGTGAGCTTCCTCAATCTAACATAAGACATGTTTATTTGATTCTTTGGTATTGTGTGGGGATAATGAGGGTATATAATCTGATCGCTCAATATCTGATTGATGTGTCATATCTCACTCATCTTAGATATATTTCAAGTTTATTTTATAACAATCAAAAAAAACGAACAACAGGAAGAAACGAAAAAACACAAAACTGGAACAACAGCAGAAAAAGTCAAGCGATGGAATAGATAGTAGAAGGAGGTGAGTGAGAAAGACGATCAAGCACTATTTCTCGCTCTGAAATAGAAAAAAAGTTAGATACTCACCTCGAACTGTATGCTGACGACGACGATATTCTTTTAGTGATTTCGGACACCACCACGCACGCTAAATAAGAGCAACAAGTTAATTGAATATATACTAAAATTACGCATTAGTCTTACCTTACACTCCCCTCCATTTCGATAACATTTTATACTACACCAACATAAAACAGATGTAAATATCGCTCCAAGCGCCGTGAGTAAACCACTAACAGAATTAACGAATTCAGTAATGTCCTTTAGCTGTAATCCGTGTTTCCGAGCTGTTTCTGGTTTGATGGTAGTGGTAGTGGCAATTGTTGTTGAAGTGGTGACAGTAGTTGACATCTGCTCAGCTTGCAGCAAGTCAATTAGATTTTTGTATTGCTAGAACAGGCAAATCAATTAGCTACTTCATACGCCTGAGAAGAATACTACTTACTGGAACGGAGTTGACGAAAGCGAAGAAAACGAAGAGAAGAAACATTGTGAAATGAATATAAATTGGATCAAATGATATTTTAGTGACAATGCCTAGTGCTTATTCAGTATATATACTTTTTCAATTAACGAGGACATACAATACTTATTTAACATCCTTTATTTGAATGTGCCGACATGTATCAGTGCGGCCTACATTGAAAGAGTTAAGACAGCTTTCAAATCATTTCTCTTTGGTACAATACCTGATATATCGTTCGATTTGGGATTCTGAAAACAGATGCACACGAAACGGCGTTTCACCAACGACGTGAACGTATCCTTTGGATTAATAACAAGGTTTTCTCTGGTACAATTTTGGCATACCTTTAACATTAGTGGATGTCACATCCACCGCAAGATACGCGCGAGCGATAATTCGACATTCTTTGAAAATGTCTTCATCAACATGCATCTTTTTTCTATAATCATATGCGGCTTTCTTGAGAGTTTCAATTGTTTCACATTCTGTGTAGTTGCCCGCAGCGAGCAAACTCTCATTAGCATCTTTGACGTGTTCACGAAAAACTCCCAGCGGACCGATTTCGTTCGCTTGCTTTCCTAAAATATATAGAACTTCTTAATTTAAAATTCGTTTCCGAACTGAACATTAGGAGTACATACCGATAAGGATGCGATTTTTACCACGAAGTTGACGTGCAGATATTTCAGTGTTAATATTATGATTCTCCTTGTCAGTAATTCGTACAAGAAAGAGCACCGATGCATTCTCTTCCGGTTCCTGTTTTAAAATTATTTGATATTTTCGGGTGCAGATGCTAATACTGCACATAGCGTAACAGCAAAAAAAACTGCACGCCTGCTTCCGTGTTCCCCTTTTAATATACGGTGTTTTAAATTTCACTCGACATTTAAATCCGCATGATATCAATTTTTCATAAAACATATCAGTCCAATAAGGTTTCATTTTCTGATGAGTGCAACTAAAAGCACTCTTCCATTCGTTGAAAGTAAGAACAATAGAAGTTTCAGTTTGGACCGCATGAGTACTTTCTCGTTGGTTAGGACGCGTCCTGGGTCGCTGAGGTAGCGGTAACGATGGATTGGAATGCAGAGATAAGTTATTTTCCGCTGGAACGGAAAAACGCTCTGTTCGATCAAAACTAGTGTTGTTTCCATCGTATTTAGTCATACCTGTTCCGGCTTTCTGTTTTTCGACGAGAAATTTAATTTCGTTTCGACCTCGACACCAAATGTTGTAAAGAGAAAGACGTGTACATTCACTTTGATCCAGCTTTAACCGATCAATAAGTTCACTCCAAACAGAATCTTTCTGGCACGTCTTCGCATTCAGCCTCCATGTTTCTTTTTTCAATTTGTCAGAGCGATCTCCGAGAGAAGCGATAGCAACAGCTAACTGCTCTACAGTGATTCGTTCCCAAATCGACTTTTTTTCGTTTTTGGAACGAAAATTCGTCATTTTTCACAAAGCTAAATAAAACTTAGGAATTTAGGATCACAAAACTTTACCGTTAATCACGCACGAACAGTGCAATCAATAAATGTTCAGACAATAGTACCAGTACACAAACTCGATGAGTTAATATGATATCACTAAATCCTAAATGTGTTCTCCCTCTTAATCAATAAACAGGGAAACAGAATAGAAATGGTCCAATGAGAACGAATAATACATTAGACATCCAATGATTTTCCTTCTGTATATTCAAAATGCATCTCAATACACACAACATTCAAAGGCATCATGATCATCCACTACCCTAATCAAACAAAATCAATATGCAAGCAACATGAAACACAGCGTCTTCCTCACATCAATCAAACAAATGTGATCACACACCTCACAGCAGAAAACAAAACACCCCAAGGACCCATCAACCTAATCGAAAACGATCACACTACATCACAAATATCAACAACTGATTAAATCACCACCTGTCACATCAAACTCATCCATTCTCAATCATCAAGAACAACGCGATATATGATGATGAATCGTGGCACAAAATATCTTATTTTTCCCAGTTATGTATATATTGCTTTTATAGCGTGAAAAGTAATTAGCAATTTTCTCATTACCTGTGCGTCGGAGAGAGAAAAGTGAAGTGTGAACTTTGCAGAGCTTGATGAGTTCTAGTTGGATCCAGTGACATAGCGAATCGTGGCACAAAATATCTTTTTTTTCCCAGTTGTATATATATTGCTTTTATAGCGTGAAAAGTAATTAGGGATTTCCTCATTAACTGCGCGCCGGAGGGAGAAAAGTGAAGTGTGAATTTTGTAGAGCTTGATGAGTTCTACTTGGGTCCGTGAAGAAGAAAGTTGGATCCAGTGACACAGCGAATCGCGATGGGAGATACCGAGATATTTTGGAAATGTGTGGGTTTTTAGGTTAGGATTCGGGTTATGGTCGTTTTTTGACTGGTTTGCTGTAATGAATTTTGGAGCCCAATGTGTTGGGTTTGTACAGCTCGCTGAGTTCTGCTTGGGTCCAGCGAGAGTGGGGTTGGGTCCAGTTATGGGGCGAATCCATTCAGGAAATATTCGAATCCTGACCTAAGATATCCTACGTAACTTTATGAACGTTCGTATTGCTTTTATCGAGAAAATTTCCTCCGAATTATTCTAACTTGTTACCGTGTGTATTTCTCAATTCAACACATGATTAAAACTTTATCACAAATTGCATTTTAACTTTAAGATCTTTGCAAAGTCAGCATGTTTAATAATCTTTATATAAAGAAAAACTTTTAGGACTGTGAATGCGAGAAATAACTAAGGAAAAGATAAAGAAACATGTGTGTATACACTGGGCCTTATGTAAATAAGACGTATATATAGAATTCTTTTTTTTTCCTCGTTTTACATACTTATCTCGATACATGTCACTAAAACTGTTATCTGCGTAGAGCAACGATCGACTAGTATATGTCACTGCAGATAGAAATGGACAAGATATTATCTTCTTATGGAGTTCAGAATACTGTTCAATCTTCGTTACTCATATGAAAAGACATCTGTTGTGAATCTTATATGAAACTCATATAAAATACTAATCTATAATACCTAATTAAAACGAATTAATTATAACACTTGACTCTGCTAATAACAAATAGCAAATCCTTTCTTCACAAGCAGACGAAAACGAAAGAAAAGCATCGAACTCTTAAGAGTTTTCTTTAATTACGCGTTTTGAGTTTATTTTTCGGGCTTGTCAAGTCATCTTGTGACAATGAGCGTCTCTTCACTTTTCTTCACTTTTGAGAAAAAACACTACCTCTGGTCATAAATTCATAACTCCACTTATATAAGCACTTGACTTTCCTGAGAAATAAATGTGACTTATTTGATGTCATGTAGATACTTGAGTTTCAGGACAAAAAAGAATTTGCTCTGAACTGATTTTAGTTGTCTATATAGACACTTGATCTTAGCAGAGCTTGAGGCCGGACGCTAACTCTCTGTTCTTGGTTTTTTAAAGAACTGCAATTATCCAGTTACTACGCGATCTTCTACTCAACTTTTCTACGGGAACATGATTCAAAGGTGAAATATTTCAACGGTGTGCCAGATAAGTGGGAGTCCTCTCGTCCTGTTTTTTAAAATTTTCATTTTTCACCACTAAGGCGCTACTTTAAATTGAAAAAATTTTATAAAGCAAAATGATCTGTTTTTGGCAAAGAACTCTAAACGTTTTTATCAAAAATGTCACCCTTCTGCTTCAAAGATCGAACTACGCCTGTGAAATGTTCAACCCAGCGTGATTGACAGTCCGTACTCAAATTGTGGCTCTCTAATTCCAGTCAAAGTTCATATACTTCGACGAGTTCGTGAAAAAACCTGGAGTTTTCAATTTTCTTGTTTTTATTTTTGATTAGAGCTGTTTATCGGCGATATTTAGTAGAAAAGTTCGTTTATGAGAGGCAGCACGAACAGAATAAGCATACATAGAAACGAGCGCCATCTTTAATACTTTTTGACAGAAGCGTTTGGGGCGCTTGAAAATTATATGAATAGTGTAAAAAGATATGGAGATCACGAATATCACAATTACAAGCCTTAATTTCCTCCTTGTCATGGACCTCCTCCGACAATCCATCAGATCAAAAGAAAAATGATGATGATGATGATCATCAACTTAATCTCTACTAACTAACTGATTTTCTAGCCTTAAAAGAAATTTGAACCACTTGCCATCTAATAATTGACGATAATTTAATGCTAATCATAATGCTAATAATCATTAACGTCCATATTCATCAATAAATCGTTGTCGAGCGGCTAGAAGTATACACAGAAAAACAAATAATTAACTATGTGCGTTCTACATTATCTCTTTCGTATACCCATCACGTCCACCACAGAA